CATTAGTGGAAAAGGAAGGGCGCCTTTTGCGTCTGGATATACTTAGCAACAGAAGGGCGCCCTGTACGTTGGGCACGAAGTATAGGACACTTGCATGGTTAAAAAGAAGGGCGCCGCCTACGTTGGGCACGACTTCCGCCTCATTTTTACAATGTGAGAAATGCCATTGGTTTAATTTAGTGTACTGGGAGAACGTTCCTAATATTGAGTCCAAATGGTGTGGTTGTTTTAAGTAAAAGTTCCCAGTGATTCTCTTTATCTTTGCGATTTTTGTTGCTCCAACTGGCATTATGGTCAATTGCAATCATCTGAAATTTGAAATTGAATGACCAGCTAAATTGAAATGTTCGGCTACTGGTTGGTCAAGCTTAGATGTTCTGATAGCTGATCTATGTTGTGTCATTCTCATACGGAGAGTGTTTTTTTGTTTCTCCGACATATTGTTTACCACAAATATTACAATATATGAGATAAATGACATTTTTGGTGAGGCAATTAATTGATTGCCTTATCCGAAATATGTGGTTAGTTTGGTTGCTCTTGAATGATTGTGTAGAATCAAGCAAGGAGCATGTTTTGCATGATGAACCACAAAGATGACTACCCAAATTACGGTTGTTGCAAGAGTTAGTTTGCCTCTTGAATTTAGATCGTACTAATATATCACGAAGGTTAGGTGGTCAGCGATAGGCTATGAACGGTGTATCCGGAAAAACAGACCTAAGACGTTCTGTGGTCTGTAGAATGGGCATATGTTTCTGAATTATAGCCCTTAGTGGTGGTAACCTAGGGTGATAGGAGTGACCAGTGGCACTCTGGTCGATCGTTGACGTGGTTTGTACGTCAGTGTTTGAGCACAAGGTATGTCCTTTGCTTTTTTTATTTTCAATGGGTCCTCGATGATAATTTCTATTCCGGAGATGTCTGGATAGTTCTTCTGTTCGATTCTGAAAATCTAAATCCGAAGAACAAATGCGTCTCATGCGCAATGCTTGGCTGTACGGAATGTTTTTTGTACAGTGCGGGGGGTGACAGCTGCTAGGGAGCAGGTACATATGCTTATCCGTGGGTTTACGGAAGAGATCGGTTTTAAGTGCACCATTTTCCATGGCCACGGTGATGTCCAAAAAATCTACACTGCTTGTGGATTTGTTAGCAGTGAATTTGATTGTGGGATGAGCCGAATTAATGTTCAATAGGAACGTATCCAAACTATATATATATATAGATTAATCCACCACTGAGCAGATAGTGTTGCAATAATAAATTGCAATGATGTCTTACAATGATTATTCAGATATGATTGTAGTGATTGCTTTGAATACAATCATGCTTAACTGATAAATTGGAAATGGCAAAAAGACAAATAAAAAACACTAGGACTTTGAACAGCTTATTTAACCATATAACACAATCAATGTCCTGTCTGTGTATTTGATGTGTACCTCAATTTTTTCAATCTTCAGTGTTGTATTCTCTCCAATCCTCAAATTATATCTATCTATCAGTTCTTTTACCACTTTAAAGAGAAAAAAAAAAAACACCACAAATTAATACAGCAATATTGTTGAAACGTGAAGACTTCAATTGCATAAAAATAAAAGTACTGTATTTACCATGACAACAGTTAAAAGAACCTCTCCTTCAAATTGTTAGTAAAAAGTTGTTGAAATTAACTCCAAATATTTGACATGACATTTTTTAATGTATTGCAGTGGCATTTCTTGACAGTGTTACAGTATATCCTTAAGATCATTCCCAACCTTGGTGAGGCTAAGGTATATGGGGACTCAAGTCTCAAAGTGGCCTTGTATGGGGGACTCAAGTCTCAAAGTGGCCTTGTATGGGGGACTCAAGTCTCAAAGTGGCCTTGTATGGGGGACTCAAGTCTCAAAGTGGCGTTGTATGGGGACTCAAGTAGGCCTATCAAAATGGCCTTGTGGCTTACTGTTATATCATGGTACTGCGTTGCTCCAATACTAATGCTCTACTGTAAGGATATAAATAGACAGGGTTCAAAGGTTGTTTCTTTTATCAGTGCATTTTAAATTGTAAGTAGTATTAGTGTTGAATATGAAATAAAACAGTTTCTAAACCAGTGGCGGACCGTAGGGTAAATTTCAGGGTATGTTAAGTGTTGGCATAACTAGGATATGCGAGGGTCGTGCACGCCCCTTCCCCCTGGAAAAAATACTCGCCCATCCCACTGCCCACAAATCATGTTCAAGTAGTTAAAAATCACCTCAAATCACATTATTTTGCGAGTTAGCCCCTCACATAATCACGATCCCCACTTTACATTCCCAACCCCATCAGCTCCCTTCCAATTCAAGACCCTATGCCACTGATGCTAGGGCCTGCTAGTAGGAAAAGTTTGTAAGCGTACTACACAGGATCAGATTGCGTTCTATAGTCAAAATACAAATGTATGTTATTTTTAATACGGCATGGTTTTACAGTAGTATCTTCTTTTCAAAAGAATTCCTATTCCTGTATTTTAACAAATTTAAATAAACTAATAATAATTCAAAGTTTCTTCTATACCGGTTATATGCATGCAAACTTATTTAAACTTTAATCATTGAGATTAGGCATATAGATAGCATATCCGATCAGCAGTGAAGGTCTTGATTTGTGATTAGAAGAGCATGCGCACATACTCTTGGAAGCACTGCTTCCATTCCAGTGTTAAATTCTGATGCCACGACACAGTTTTGTAAGTCTAACGAAAATGATAATATAGTAATTGAAATAATCATTTTTGAATAATACACTTTTATATACCATTAATTAAAATTCAAATTTTTTTTTAATTTACAATAATTATTTATTAGTAATAATTGAAATTTTTTTTTTCTCACAATGAAAACACCGCCACTACCTAAGCCTTATAATGAGACTTAGTTAATGTAGAGCATCTTGTGTTTGTTTATGATTGTCTTGTGAAGGGATATGCCACTTAGAAAATTGATTAAGTTTTCTCTCTGGCATATCCTTGGTCTTGGGCCTAATACAAATAATGGCCTATTCTTTAGCTATACCATAATTATACTACTCATGCTGATTAAAGAGTGTCTGAAAGGGTTATTTTGATCGATCAATCAATCAATATTATAATTCTAAATTAGGAAATAATCATAGTTATTGATGCTTAGAAGACAATTAATATTATTTCTAAATTCTAAAATAAAGTTCACTCATTAGGTCAAAAAAGGTTTGTGTTGCCAAAGGCCGAGCAACCTAAAATCTTGAAATTCTAGGCTCAGCTGCTATTTTTTCTTGCTGGCATGAAATTAAAATAAAACCACTTTTTCAAATTTTAAAATTCTTTAATTGACAACTTAGACATTAGCCAACCAAAATGTATGATGTGAAACCTAGAATTAGGCATAGACAAAAAATTCCCAACCTTCTCTGATTTTCAAATGTCACTGTGCTTGAGCAAGACATTTTGTTTTTTGCTAGCTTATTATTTGATGCTCAATGTTTAATAATTTTTCCCACAATTTTACTTACCAGTAGCACTGCTGAATTTTACTACAGCACGATCCTTCTTTTTTCCAACTGGATAAATGATACCACACACCTTGTAATCAACTGAGGCTTGTTGAAAAGCCTTAATGATTCCACTGATTGTTTGCTCCTCTTCATCGAATATATCAAAACCCTTGACAATCACTCCGTCAACCTCTGGAAGTCCAACCTCTGGCTCCTCCACAGAATCCATTGTTTACATATGCTATATCAAATCAAAGCAAATCTACTTTACTTGAAACATGGACAACAAAACACAATTTTCATCAAAATCTATAAAAATTATAAAAAAGCAAGCCAGGGTTTATTCCAGGGGTTGGTGTGTGCCACTCAACATAAACATAAACATATCTGGTAAATTTCAGTCGCTTAATTGCCGCCATATTCTTAAAATTTTCACACCTCAGTCAGCCCCACTTATTAATAACCAACTAAAGCTCATGCAGTGCGACATTCAAACTTTATTAAACAATTGTAGAAACTGTATTCTTTTAATATCATTTTACTGTAAGTCCTGCGTGTACATGTGTATTATTTGTTTACTACAATTATATTAAAGAAAAATTGATTTTCTAGGCTAGGCCTAGTATTTAATCAAGATCATAGATGAAACAAGTTAACTAAGGACAAGGTAGTCCTGCAATTTCTTAAACTGGCCAACTAGGTGCTAGGCTAGGCCTATATAATAATAATATTATTATATTAAGAGATCTCTAAAGAGCCTGCGTTCGAAGATTGCGTAGGCCTATCTAGCCTTGACTAGGCGTCCACTTTCATGGTCTAAGCCAATTTATAATTTACGCCACAACAGTGACATCTTATACGATCGACTGTAGCACTGCAGAATATCGTATTTGATTCAAAGTTATATCACTTTACATCTCCCTGGTTACACTGGCAAATGAGAAAGTAATCTTACCCGATAGACATAGATATTTTACAATAAAACAAGATTTTTTTGTCTGCAAGTTCTGGTATACTTGCGATTCCACTTACGTTTCGCAGTTTTCCAGGCTGTAGCTGGAATCTGGAATTTCACATGTATTGTACGGCGTGAAAATAACCGGGCGGTGATTGGCTACTTGTTGTTACTCATGAATATTCAACTCTTAGGTAAACCAATGAGCTTGCTTTTTTAATTGGTTGTTGGTTGGACCAGGGATTTCCCCACCCCAACTTGAAAATAAATGGCAATGTGAAGTGCTTTGCACACATAACAACAATCTCATCCAAGATTATTTGTTTGGTTCATGGGCGGCGGAACCGGGGGAGGGGGATGGGGGCGGGGCCCCCCACTTTTTGGCGAAAAATATATAATGTCTGGAGAACTTTGTATGATCGGAAATGCAAAAAAAGAAGGAGGGAAGAAGGAGAAGGATGGGAAAGAGAATGTTTATCCAGTAC